TTTTTTTTTTTTTACTAGCTTGGATCACTTCACACAGTGCAGTATGAAAAATTTTGGTTCCCAAATCGAACTGAGTCTACCGGACTACGAGGTGTGAAAACACCTTAAGAAATGGACATTTTAAGAAAGAAAAAAAAAGAATAAATACATAATGTTTTGCATGTTTTCTAAAGGTAAATGACAGAAAACTGTACACTTAAATTTGACAAACCAAAACTTGGTCTAAGAAGAGAGAGAGAGAGAGAGAGAGAGAGAGAGAGAGAGAGAGGGAGAGCTTTTGAAGCCACGAAGCAGGACTCCAGCCTGCTGCGGTCGGCTCACCTGCAGCCTGCGGCGCCTGATTATCCCCGAGTCATCCATGGCGTAATGAAGCGGCCATGCAGGGGTTCCCCTCGCCTCGCTAAATCAATCCGTTGCCCCTGAACCGATATGTCTCTTTGAGCAGGCAGGGCGAATGCATCCGAACTGTCCACCCCAAACACAAAAACACACACACAGCGGCCGGGGGCGCACTCTGAATGAGACCGGGGTCACGTCGAGGAAATCCGCGGACGGACGCGCTTGTCAAGCGTTGCCATTCGCTTTCTCTCTGTTTTTCCCTCTTTCTCATAGAAAACGAAATAAAAAAATAATAATTCTAATCTCTCCTAACAACAAACGGTGCAACTCCTTTCAGCGTGGTGGCGGTCTGCGCCCCGTCTGCGCCTCTCTGCGGTCAGACATGCTTGCCCTCTACGCGCTCATGGATCCACGGCTGCCGGATCCCGGGAGCATCCTGGACTTCTGCGGGGCTTCGGCGCTGTCCAGCTGGGCGCCAGAAAGGCCTCGTGCGGGATGGTCCGAATCAAAGTTCATCCGCTCCGTTTCTTTTTTCTTCCTTCTTCCTCTTCCTCTTCTTCTTTTGTTAGAGTCAAAAATGTGTCAGTGCGTCTCCACGTCTGCACACAAAGAACGACGAGTCCACAGACGCTGTTGTTCCTCATTAGGGATGCGTGGTACGGGGTACAGGAGCCGCGCTGCTCATCCTCACTGAGCTCCTCCGCCGCAGATCTGCTTCTTCCTCTGCCGTAAACATTTAGCGCCTCCTCCCGCAAAACACGCACCCACTTCCCTCTCTGCTTTCATTAGTTTATTCATTCATAGTTTGTTTGTTTGTTTGTTTTTTTAATGTTAACTTCCAGGGAAGCGGATGGAGTGACAGAAGCGAAAAGCAATAACGCGATATTTCTAATGTTCCCTGGGATTCCCCTCTCGCCCCTCCTCCTGTTCCCGAGTGGAGGTGTGTGTGTGTGTGTGTGTGTGTGTGGGGGGGGGGGGGGTTTTACTTTTGTGAAGGGGGGGACACCCCGCCCCAGATCCCACCGCAACTG